TGAAGACTGGTTTGGTCATCACTTTATACCTGAAGTCGAACGTTATTGCCAGTCTAAACAAATCCCGTTTAAAGTGATGCTATTAATCGACAACGCGCCAGGTCATCCTCCTGCTACTTTAACTAGTTTCGACCCACGTGTGAAAGTTGAGTTTTTGCCACCAAATACAACCAGCTTGCTTCAACCGATGGACCAGGGAGTTATCAAAACATTCAAAGCTTATTACACGAGACGATCGTTTGCACATCTGCATGAAGCTATGAGACAAAACAACGAGCTCTCTGTTAAAGAATTTTGGAAAGAATTCAACGTTTTAGAAGCAGTGAGAATCATTGGAGAATCTTGGGATGAAATTTCACAAAAAACTTTAACTGGCGTCTGGAAAAAACTCTGTCCATTTTTTTTCTCCACTGAGACTCAGGCGGAATCAGTGCCAGGGCCTGATGAAATTTGCAATGTGATCAAAGACGTTGTCGAACTTGGTAGACAAATAAATTTAGAAGTAGATAGTGATGATGTTCGAGAGCTGTTGGATTCACACAATGAGGAGCTTACAATTGATGAGCTCATAACAATGCGTGTACAAGAGGAAGAAATTAATAATTATGATTCTTTGGACCCAGTTCAATTAGAAGATCAAATGACAGTTGGAAACTTGACAGAAGCCCTCAGTTCGATTGAAAAAGGGTTAACCATTTTGGAAAGCATAGACTCCAATGAAGAGCGCATTTTTGTTACAAGACATGGAATAAAAAAATTACTAGGATGCTATGAGGAGATATTACGAGAAAAGAAAAAATCATTGACTCGTCAGACGACTTTGTTACAATTTATGAAACCTTCTACATCAAAATAACTTCGGATTGTGTTTGTACACTTTATTAATTTAGTTTGTCATATTATCTAGAAATAGATTGTACTAATTATTTCCTAAATTATTGTTTTATTTAGTCTCCCTTCCCACTTAAACATACTTTGTATGTCTTTATATGCAAAATTGTACCCCGACTTACGCGAATTCAACTTACGCGGATAGCGCTCAGTCCCACCTATCGCGTAACTCCGGGGTATTACTGTACGTGCATAGTAAATAGGGATGGCAACGATATATCCATACAGTAAATAATATACATCGCCCACACAGAATTAATACAGCATATTGGCACGTATGTAATATATACTTCAGAATATATTACATACTATAAATTACTAAATCTAAGTATTCCTTGTCAAGGTCAGTCTCTACTTCAAATTATGTCGTATGATTTTGTTTACTATTTTATACGTCTTAGGGCACAGTGATATTGATGTATAATGTTTTTGATATCCCCAAGGGTAAAAGCGATTAATGTTTCAGCAATAGTAGTTATGAATATTATGTTTTTCTGTTAAATACAAATGTAAGAAATATAAAAATTAAAATCTAATATTCTGGCACTAGGCCCTAGACGTCTAGGTTGCCTAGGACTTAGTTCGCCCCTGAACGGTAGAATGAAAGTAGTAGAAAAGATTTAAAAAAATAAAAGCATAAATATTATCTTTTTCTACTTTTTAGATAAAGAAGATTTTGTATACTTATGTTAACACTGTAACTTTAAATAATTGATGGATTCGACCGTTACTTGATGGAAATTCCTTTTATGTAACAATAAAACACTGAAAACTTTATTTTTAAAACTTCCACAAAATTTATTTTAAACTCTTATCACTACAGCAGTTTCTGCTGATTGCTTTTCTCAAGTGATCTATTTTTGGCATGCGTTTACAATTTATAGTCTTTAATGAAATAGGTTGAGGAGGGGAAAACTGTTTGTCTCAAGTTGGTTATTCAGAATTATATCTGTGTTTTTTAAATTTGTTGATTTCCATAGATTCTAACAAATATAGCTTAAGGCCATTGATTTGAATGTGAAGAATGTTAAATTCGTCATTAAAAGAATGATTAGGATCTACATACGCACTTCACCTTCTAGATCATAATCATTCTTTTAATACCGAATTTAACATTCTTCACATTCAAAATAAAGGCCTTTAGCTATCATTGTTAGAATCTATGGAAATCAACAAATTAAAAAACACAGATATAATTCTAAATGACCAACTTGAGACAAACAGTTCTCTCCTCCTCAACATATTTCATTAAGGACTATAAAGTGTAAACGCATGCCAAAAATAGATCACTTGAGAAAGGCAATCAGCCGAAACAGCTGTAGTGATAAGAGTTTAAAATAAATTTTGTGGAAGTTTTCAGTGTTTTACTGTAACTTTAACTTTTGTACACTGTTTGTTATCAATATAAATGAGTAGTGACCGATATTAAAAACTTATTAACTCCGCACAAAGAGACTCTTTAATAGCTACAGTTTTTACTTTACAAATCTGATTCGAATTATATCCGAAAAGTAATAGTAAATATGTAAAATTTAAATTTTTAATGAAAAATTAAAATTAACCCATTACTTATGAGGTCAAAAAAAGCAGCCTTCACGAAGACTGAAGTACTAATCTAATGAGACCACCGCAATCGGGCATACCCTGAGTAATGATTAGTTAAGTAATCATCTAATTCTTTAATCACCCGTTCAATATGATTTTGTCAAATCGGTCCCTTTGAGGACCAACTATTCTCATTAATTCTATAAGTATTGAGGGCAGATCTAAAGATAAAGAAACTTTACTTTACTTAAACTTGTTAGATACACCTAGGAGTTTAATACAAATGTGACGTATTTCTAGTGCACATAAAACCACATGATAAATAGGGAAATGCTATCTTTGCTGGCAATGAAAGCAAAGAGAAACTCAAAGTGAGAGAGATAAAAACCAGTCAGCTGAGGGAACCTTTCAACAATGTTGAGTTTGGATCCACCATTTATGTATATATAACGAAAAATAATACGACTCCAAACATTGAGGATCTGAGCACAAACTTAATTACGAAATTTGGAAGAAAAACACTATAATTGCTTCTCCGGATGATAAACAGCAAGCTGTATTCAAACTATGCAGATAACCAAAGTGTACAGACAAGCCTAAGTTGCTGCCTTGCTTAAATTTGCCAAAATCTCCAATTAACACAAAAACTGTCCGCAATATCTTTATTTTGTCAGCTATTCAAAATACTTACAAATGGTCCTTTATATAATATTACCGTTAATAGAGGAAGAACTCAAATTGACATGTTAAGACGCGAATATCATGTACGTCACAAATACTATATCTTACCCAATACAGCGCAGACAGCTACGTAAGATATCATAGAGATATTATAAGAATAAATAGAAGATAAAATATTCAGAAGTATGTAATATTGGTAAACTGGTATATTTTTCTTATACAAATTAAGCATTCTTCCCTCTTTTGTGCACTACTACCAATTTTTACATAAAAATATCTATTTTTGCACTTAAATATTTATTTTAAGATAACCCATCCAGAATCATATGTAGTACACAGATAAAACCAGAAATAAAATAATAAAGAAGCTATATACAAGACATCGTAAAACAATGGATTAACTAAAAGTTCTTATTAATCGTATTCTTAAATAAAACTTAAAAAGACATACTCATGTTAACAAAATACATTAGTAAATTTTCGCATATGAAAAATACATCCAACTTGGTAATGAAATCTTTTTTATTTATAAAGCAATTTTTAGAATAGCGCGTACCTACCAAAAACAGGTATTTGGTATTATACATATCTATTACATATTGTCATGATGATCGCCAACATTCGTAACGGATAGGCACATTAAGAAGAAGAAGAAGATTACATATTGTAAGGTGTATGAATGTTAACAAAAATAAGGAGTCCGTATGAACCGTTTAAAATATATAAAATGTATATATCAAGACCGCTGGCTTAATTGCATAGTTGCCAAACTATCAGAGCTTACTTAAACCGATATACTTATGGTTCCAATATACAGTGAAAAAGATCTGAACGACCCCTATAATATATACACGTGAACTAAGCGAAATACATTTATGATACAGGGGTACTTATGAGCTCCAAAATTTTTTTAAGAATTATGAAACTATACATCTTAACGAATCGACAGAGCCAATATTATGGAATGGACAAGTGGGCTCCGTATATCGGTGTCCACTTGACCACGGAGCTCATTTGAACCTGAATTTTAACATGGGCGGAATTCACTTTATGCCGTATATATATATATATATATATATATATATATATATATATATATATATATATATATATATATATATATATACAATGAATACTGGATATTCGTGACTGTCAATTTAAACAAACAACAAAGTTTATTGGGGCTGCAGTCAGAAGTTTGGCCGGGATGTTACAGAACTTTTGGTCTAGCTTTCGGAATTGTTTAATTCCTTTATCAAGACACTGTAATTAGAAAAATATGTAAATATTTACAATATATCACAAAATGTCAGTGTACTTACTAGTCGTTGAGATTATTTGTATTAATGTTGAGTGTCATAGCTTCTTACAAATAATCTCAACGACTAGTAAGTACACTGACATTTTGTGCTATATTGTAAATATTTACCCATTTTTCTAATTACAGTGTCTTGATAAAGGAATTAAACAATTCCGAAAGCTAGACCAAAAGTCAAAAGAGTGTTTCTGTAACATCCCGGCCAAACTTCTGACTGCAGCCCCAATAAACTTTGTTGTTTTTATATATATATATATATATATATATATATATATATATATATATATATATATATATATATATATATACTGATTCATTAGGCATATACTCCCTTCTGCTTTGGATTAGACACCGGCGTACTCTAGTCTAAGTAGCAGAGTCATGTAGAAACTGCCTAAGTAGCCTATTCATTTTCTGAGAGCCAAACGGGCTATATATTGGCTGCAATAAAATTCAATGGTAGAAAGAAGTAACTTATAAAAAACATTATTTTCAAGCAATATGCGTTACAATAAATGAAACACTACTTAATAAAACATTAATTTAACTGTTAAAAAATAATTACCGCTGTGTCTGTAATTTCTTCCGCGGTTTTGCTTAAAAGCGTATCAAGAAGTTGGTTGGAATCTTCAGATGTAAAGGTACTGTCGAGAGCTTTTGCCAGTTTAAAAGCGTAGTGTCTAGCATTTGATTGGAAAGCATAGGGGGAAATTGGTGTACCACTCTCCAAAATATATCCTGCTACCATACCTGAAATAATCATGAAACTTCGATAAGAGTTAATTAATTTTCCATAGTATGAACATATATTTTTAATTTAAATCTACTTTAAGAGTTATTCTATTTTTTAATCAATCTATATTTGTAATATCTAAATATATTCCAATACTGCAACGGCCCTACTTGTGCCTATTTATATAAATCTAAAACTACAAATCTAAATACAAACATCACAAAAATGAATATAATACAAGTATACGCACCAACAGCGGACAAAGAAGAACATGAAATAGAAACATTTTATGAACAAATTGACTCGGCATTAAAACTGACCAAAAAAAGGGACATTACAATAATAATGGGTGATTTGAATGCTAAAGTTGGGAAAGGAAGGACAGATGATTTGGTAGGAAATTTTGGATTAGGGAATAGGAACGAGTCTGGTGAAAGACTGGTACAATTTTGCCAGGAAAACAGAATGGTAATTACAAATACCTTTTTCGAACTACCTAACAGACGTTTATACACATGGAGATCTCCACAAGACACAGAACATCACATAGTGAGAAACCAAATAGACTATCTACTAATCAATGAAAGATACAGAAACAGCATAATGTCAATTAAGACATACCCTGGTGCAGATATATCATCTAATCACAATCCACTAGTTGCAAGAATGAAAATAAAACTAAAGAAAATTAATAGCACAATCCCCAAAAAAGCAGTTGATATCAACAAATTACGAAAACCAGAAGTAAGAGAATAGATGATACAAGAAATTGATGAAGCAGTAACAAAGATACAACCCATAAAAGACAACACAAAAGTTAACATCAATGAGAATTGGACAGATATTAAAACAGCGTTAATGAAACCAAGCATAAGTCATCTCCATAAAAGTAAAGAATATAAAAAAGAATGGATGACAGATGAGATACTGAACTTAATGGATGAAAGAAGAAAACAGAAAAACAAAAAGAACCAGAAGTATAAAGAGATACAAAAAGAAATTCGTGTAAAAATACGCACAGCTAAAGAAAACTGGTACGGGGAAAAATGCGAAGAAATCGAACAACTACAAATTAAACACGACAGCTTTAATGCACATCGGAAGATCAAAGAATTGACGAGGAGACAAAGTAACAGACACAACATATTAGTAAACGAGAGTGGAAACATTATTATGGACACAGAAGAAAAATTACGAGTCTGGAAACAGTACATAGAACAACTATTTAAAGATCAAAGAGACAATGTAGATAACGAATACATAAACAGTGACACAGGACCAGAAATAACAAGAGATGAAGTGGAATACACGATTAAAGAAATGAGGTCGGGGAAGGCTACAGGCCCAGATGAACTACCAATAGACATAATTAAACTCATCAAAGGCAACAACTTAATAAAGATCGTGGAACTATTTAACAGCATTTACAAATCTGGTATCATACCTAATGAATGGCTAGTAACAACAATAATAGCCATACCCATAAAGTCTAATGCGAGACAATGCTCGGAACATCGCACCATCAGTCTCATGTGTCATATATTAAAGGTCTTCTTAAAAATCATTCATCGGAGAATATATAAAAAATTGGAACTTGACATCGGACCCTCCCAATTTGGCTTTAGAGACGGACTAGGAACTAGAGAGGCACTGTTTGCTTTTAATTTTCTAACACAACGATGCTTAGACGTAAATCAGGACATATTTGTGTGTTTCCTAGACTATAACAAAGCATTTGACACAGTAAAACATAGGCCACTGATGCAAATACTGGAAAATAAAAATATTGATACAAGGGACATGCGAGTAATAAGGAATCTATACTACAAACAAGAAGCTACAGTACGAATTAACAGCTCGATATCAGATAGAATACAGATCAAAAGAGGTGTTCGGCAGGGCTGTGTGTTGTCTCCAACCTTGTTCAATGTCTACGCGGCAGAAGTTATTAAAAAAGCTCTTATGAACGAAAAAGCCGGAATAAAGATCAACGGTCACCCCATTTGCAATATCCGATATGCTGATGATACCGCGCTCATAGCAGAAAATATTGACGACCTACAGAGATTACTAAACAAAGTGGTAGAAGCAAGTGAAGAATTTGGTCTGTCACTGAATACAAAGAAGACCAAATTCATGATAATTACAAAGAAACGTATCAATAATATCAACTTACATGTAGGACAGAATCTCATTGAACGAGTACAAAATTACAATTACCTCGGAACAAATATTAACGAGTCAAACGAATACACCAGAGAAATAAGAATAAGAATAGAGAAAGCCCGCAGTGCATTTAACAATATGAATCAAATGTTGTGTAGCCGTAACCTAAGCCTAAAGCTGAAAATACGAATGCTTAAATGTTATGTTTTCTCGGTCCTGTTATATGGGGTGGAAGCGTGGACACTAAATAAGCAATGTATGGGTAAGCTGGAGGCATTTGAGATGTGGGCGTACCGAAGAATGTTAAAAATCTCCTGGAAGGATAAGATAACTAACCAAGTTGTATTAGACAGGATGAACAAACAAAAGGAGGTCGTATTGAGTGTTAAAATGAGGAAACTACAGTACCTGGGACATATTACACGTGGGAATAAATATCAACTGTTACAACTAATTATGCAAGGAAAGATTGAAGGTAGGCGCAGCATAGGTAGGAGAAGAATGTCATGGTTGAGAAACCTCAGGGAGTGGTTTGCTTGCACTTCCATACAATTGTTCCGAGCGGCAGCCTCCAGGGTCAAAATTGCCATGATGATAGCCAACCTTCGTAGCGGAGATGGCACGTGAAGAAGAAGAAAAACTACAGAGAAGTGTAAAACAAGATTATAGTTCACTCAAACTATTTACTTTAGCTCTAGAAGATGTTCCAAACTTTAGAATGGGAAAAGAAATGAGTAATGATAGACGGCGAAAACTTGAATCACCTGTGGTTTGCCGATCGTCTTGCGGTAATAACAAAAGACATAGAAGAAATAGGACTAAAAATATTGATTGAAACATTGAGGATATCACTCTGGACAATCATATTATAGAAAAGGTCGAGTCATGTATATACTTAGGACAACAAATCGAATTAACAAAGCTTAGCTCAGCAAGGCTAAGTTAAAAAGAAGATGTTCCTTATCTTAGGCAGCATTCGGAAAATATTACAAACAGTATTTAAATCAAACCTACCAAGTACTTTACAGGCAAAAACTTTCGATCAGTATGTGCTGCTGTAACTAACATATGGAACTGAAACATGAGCTTTTAACAACAACATAGTCTACAAACTCCAACTGACTTGAAGTTGGAGAGCTATTGAACGAAGAATGCTTAACATTAAGCTCACCGATCGCAAGTCCAATGAAGAACAAATAAGAAGACAAATAAAAGTTACTAATGTAATCAAAAATATTTTTTTATGTTAAAATGGAACTGGGTAGGACACATAGGAAGAATGGAAGACAACAGTTGGACTAAGCGAATTATTGAATGGCGACTAAGAGCAAATAAGAGAAGTGGATTCAGACTTCAAACCAGATTTAATTCAGACTTATTTATATTATATTTTAAGGCGTTTTAATACTTAAGGGTTAAAACCTAGTATAGGATGATAAGAGAGAGAGAGGGTGAGAGAGATACTTAAATTAGAACCTGTATTTTTTATAGATCTGCCATGTGTAGCCTTGTGATCTCGTATCGTTCCCAAATTCATTAGTTGTTAAGGGAGACGAAATGAGATCGTGTATACTTCCTCTCATGATTTGGTATAATAAAATATCTGGCACCATTGCAAACAAAACTCTGGAAGCAAACAACTGCGGAATATACTCTATAAACTAGAATATCTATCTTCTTCTTCAAGTGCCCTGTCTGTTGCGAACGTTGGCTATTAACATGGCAATTCTGATCTTGTTTGCGGCGCTTCTGAATAGTTCGACCGATGTGAGCCCGAACCACTTCCGCAGATATTGGAGCCACGAGTGTCTTCTCCTGCCTGGCTAGATATTCAAGCTTTCTTTGTTTAATTGTATTCACGACTTCTTTCTCCTTTCCGATTCTTTGGATTACCTCTATGTTCGGTCCAGGATATACGAAGAATGCGTCGGTACACCCACATTTCGAATGCTTCTAGTTTTCTCGTGAGCGTCTCCGTCAGCGTCCAGGCTATCCAGGTATCCAGAATATCTATATACTTACAAATCCGCAGTAATAACAAATTTAATTTAAAAAAATATAGCTTACCGTGCGTTCTTTTACTAAGATGCATAAATCCTGCTGTTGTTGATCCTGCACTTTCGCCCATTACTGTAATTTTATTTTTATCTCCTCCAAATAAATTGATATTATCATATGTCCATTTTAGAGCTTGGAATGTATCTTTCAGTCCTAGATTTCCGGGGATGACGTTGTCGCCTGTTGTTAAAAAGCCTGAAAATGAGAGAATACGAAAAATATTAAAGAAATTAAGGGACATTATGAGTTGTGAAAATTGTTAGTGTTTGTTTGAAGATATTAAAGATGGAGTGCTACAAGAATAAACAATGCGTCTTCATTGTTCAATATTTATTAACAGTAATAGACGTTTGATATTTTCAGTTGACAATTTTCGTATAAAATATGATCCAAAAAACGATTTAACTTCGTCAATAATAAGGAGTTTTATTAAAAAACTAAGAAACATTAAATGATAACGCACGGGTAAAGAACCATGTTACCGACGCATTTTGAAAATATCATGGATGGATCGCAAAACAAACGAACAAGTTCTCGAACAACTAGGAAAACAATTCGAAGTTTTAAATTCCATAAAAATCAGGAAATTGGAATACTTGGGGCACATCATGAGAGGTGAAAAGTACGAACTACTAAGGAATATAATGCAGGGTAAAATCAAAGGTAGAAGAAGCGTAGGAAGACGTAAAATCTCGTGGCTACGCAATCTCCGTGAATGGTTTGGATGCAGTTCAATTGAACTATTCAGGCGAGTAACCAATAAAATTATAATTGCCAGAATGATTTCCAATCTCCGATAGGAGTGGAACTTGAAGATGAAGAAAGAACCATGGACTCGACTGTAATAGAATGATTCTGCAAGTTCATCAAAAGGAATTTGGCCTGATAATCAAGAATGGAATATTTTCAGAAGCTTTCTACATTTACCGAGAGAAAGATAATCTAATAGTTAATACTTTTTGGAATTCCAAAAATAAAAATGTAAATTTTTATAAAAGTATTATTTAATTAAAATAATATATAACACAAAATACCACAAATTGAGATTTTGTTTGTAATTGTGACATTGAGTAAAAATAATTTTAATTGAAGATCATTTTCTTCGTTCTTTTACCACGTAGTGATCAGACCTCATTATGTGGCTAGTTCCAACTACTTTATAGACGTTTTTCACTGATAATAATGATATGATAGGATCGAAAACGTTCTAAAAGTTTATAAACCCATTTTGGATCATTTTTAAAGAATTTTTTAGTACTTTTAGTTCTGTGGAGAGACTCAAATGGATGTCAGACAATCATCGCAAGACATCAGTCAAGCTACTACTTTAGTAAATTCAGAATATATACGCCTGCTGATTCCATAAGACCAGGAACAGACACCTCTAGAACCAGTACTGCCTTCTCACCTGCTCTCTTTAAATTCCTTGAGCGCTGTGTCCATTCAAGAGAGATGTAATGTGTTATTAAAAGATGCCGCAGTAATAAGATTCCAGCAGCTTTTGATGCTTTTAACAGGCGGACAAAAGACAGCAATAGATTCGTTATTGAAAGTTCTTCCTGTTGTAGCAGTTTTAGTCAGAGGCAATTAAGTTTGATGTTTTGTATCCTTCCAATACTTGAGATCCAGAAGAATTTATGTGCAGAGCCAGAGATTATATTTTGAATCTCCTCTGAAGAAATCAAAAAAATTTTCACAGATATTACAAAACTACGACGTCACAATAAAGAACGGGAGCTCTACCTGAAACCGACCAAGATTTCATCAACAAACATGGTGACATAGTGCAAAAGCAGAACCTAATGTGGGAGTATCGGTTTCACCAACTTAGCCAGTTTTTGCAAGACAACATGAGTCAGACCCGGAAGAGTAGAAGTGAGAGTAAGAGTGTTAGTGAGGATGGGAAAGTGAGAACTAGTTTGAGTTTCAGTTCTGATAATGAGTCTGATAAATGAAAGGGCATGATGGGGGATGGGAAGAAAAATAAGGGTAGTAAAAGTGATAGCAATTAAACAACAACATCGAATTCATGATAAATAAATCCGAATCTTGATATTTAAAAGATTTTGAAACATTAGGATACAATTACACTAATCTATAAGTTGTGCATTTAATAGAGTCAAAGTCACCATAATAGGTATGGAGAGAGTTGAGGACACAGTAGAAGCAAGGAAAAACTAATTAGTAATCTTTTTTATAGCTGTTTTTATTACTGGCATTGCAGGCAATCATTGACAAATCGTTCTGTATATTTTGCTGTTCTAAAATATGTTCAGATGTTTAATAAAGCTTCTCAATGCAAAAAAAATTATACCATTGCACTTTAGAGGTTTTTACTTCATTGTAAGTTTTTTTAAAACTATGGTATACAGCCAACCACTGGGAATTTCCCTTTAAAATTTTAATGTTCTTATTTATGTCAATACAGAAATACAATATTATTAAGACCTAGTAAAAATACAGAAGAATACTTACCTAAAGGTCCCAATCGATAATTCATTGTAACTACTATTATATCATAATCCATGAAATACTTAGGATCGTAGTATTGTAGCGCACCTGATCCATAAAAGTATCCACCAGCATGAATCCAAAATAATACGGGCAGATACTCATGTGTCGTTAATGGTACCTAACACGAAAAAACAAAACAAAATAAAATTTTATTTTAGGAGTAAGTTATAATCCTTAATTAAAAAAATAAAGGGTGTTTATATATATATATATATATATATATATATATATATATAAATGTAAGTTGGTAACACCTTTCTAACTGGCGATCATTTTGACAGGTGTCAAGTGGTTTATGTTCAGTTTGGTTTATGCTTTATGAAAGCAACTCATAAAGTCCTCGTAAACACACCGTCTGAGGACTAGTAACTTCACGTGGAGTCATATGTCGCCATGTTACCAAATTTAACGGTAACTTTAACATCTTAATAAATAATAAGAAATAATGTAAACTAAATCTAAACAAATAATTTTTAACGGGTTTTTACCCACATATTTATTGGCTACATTCATGTATACCTAGACACTGATGATGAAATATGGATTCCGATATACCTTTTATAAAGGATTTTTAGTAATTTTTTTAAATTGTAATCTATTTCTTGTTGCTTATTTTTTTGAAATTCTTAAGCTATTTTTGAGTGGCGCCCACATTACGTTTTCTTAGGCAACTTCATATATCTGCGTATAGTACCTTTTTGCAACCTTATATTGCCAGTTGTCTTCTCTCATTTCATTAACTTTTGGTGTTAAAACGTTTCATTTTCTCCCTTATCTATATAATTTCATTATCCCGTATATTCGTCGTTTTACCTCTCAGCTAAGCCTTAGTGTAGAAAAGCTAGCCCGAACCTTCACGTGAAATTTTTTGTCTCCTTGGCCATTTAAATTTGTTCCTATTTAGCCATATTTTATTAGTATTTTTAATCACTTCTCTTCCAGTTCTTCTGTAATTTGAAAGTTCCTACATTTCCTAAAATCCAATACTCCCAGAGTATTGCGTTTCAATTGGCCCCACGTTGAGCGCCAATTGATTAAGACTGTAATATATTTGATATTTGGAGCCTTTCAACGTTATTTCCTTATGTTAATTTATTGGTAATGTGTACTACTTTTTGCTATGCTCCATATTTTCCAGATTCTCGTCCCTTAAAATAATTTTCTACTTTTCTGGGTGTTCTTTCGTTCGAGTTATCTGACCAACTAAACTTCCGCTGGGTTTTGGACACCAAAAACGATAAGTGGCAAGTCGCGTCCTCTGAACGATGACAAGCCATGAGCGTAACGAAGGAAATTTTTAGAGGAAGCAGTATGTAACTGTTACAGGACCCGTGAATTAGCCTCCAAGATCGTGTGATTTAACACCGCCAGCCTATTTTCTGTGGGAATGTGTAAAGTTGCTGGTCTAGCCGATAAGCCTGAAACGATTGACCACTTGGAGAACAACATTCACCACGTTATTGTCGGTATACAGCCACAAATGTTGGAAAAAGTCATCGAAAATTGGACCTCTAGATTGGACTACGTCAGGGTTAGCCGTGGCGGTCATATACAAGAAATCATATTAAATTAATAATGCCATAAGATTATCTTTGGAATAAAGTAAATTCATGTCGATTTAAAAAAAAACCATCTTTGTTTTGTTTCACTTCAAAGTTCTATACCTCTAAAAAAACACCAATTATTTAAATGTTTAAGTACACATAATTTGGTAACAGATAAGAATTTTTAGTACTAAGTTGGGGTGTATAGTAATCGATCCTAGACCAGCTAATCATTGGAAATTATAAGGCAGAGCCACAATAGGTTAACTGGCTCCTATACTGCGACGTAGAAAGGCAGGCAAATCCATTTCATTATTATTTCCAAGAAAAACATCATGGAAGTCGCAATAAATGAACCTCAGATGTTATGCGATCCGACTAGCAATCAGTGCTCTTAGGTTTTTGGTCTTGATAGTGAAAAAGAGACAACTGGTCACGTTAGGTTAGGATCCAGGCCTGTATCAGGGTGGCAAATTAAGAAGTATGGTAAAAGAAATGAAAAGACTTAAGATCAATGTCTTGCATTGATCGAAATTAATGGCCTGGAAAGGGAACAACCAAAAAGGAAGGAGCAGTGATTTATTACTTGGCAAGCAAGACACAGGAACCAAATTATGGTTATAACTGAACCAAACCATTATCAGTAAAACCGTATTTTTACTTGTCTTTGATAGTGCATCAAATATTCGGAGAATGTGCTTTCTCAGCACAGCAGACCGTTTAAGTCAAATCTTAGGGTTAGAGGCACAGAGAATCATTATGATATTATTATATAAATAAATGTAAAAATAAAATAAATGTATATTTACCCTAGGAGTGTAAACATTAATGTAAAGACAATCTTCGGTTATTTCCATATCTTCGGGTACTGACGTTAAAGCTGTTGCGTTGTTTTGCATGCATACTTTCTTGTTTTGTGTTGCATTTCTGATTTCTGTCCATGGAACTGGAGGTAATGGATCCTAAATTAAAAAAAAAAAACAATATTTAGATGGAGTAAATATATTTTTGGCAATAAAACAACTGTACCTATGTCAGTGTAATTTAGTTTTCAAATAAATACACTGCAAATAATGGATTGGAGTTATATTTTATTAAATAAAAAGTATATCTTTTGCCATTCTTTAAAAACAGAAATATAAATTATTGAAAAAGTATTATAAAATAAATCAATAACTAAAATTTAACCCGAAAGAGTAAAAAAGAATCAATTAAATATACTATGGAAAACGAAAAGAACAACACTACCTTTTCTAGCTATATTAATCATAAAGGAGGATATAGGATATGTAACTAAAGTTTACAAAGTTGTTAAAGTAAAGGGGTAGCAGCTAGATACCGTTTTCACTTGAAGATCCTTTTTGTATGGGGATCACCCCACTCTGTTGTTTCCACTACTTTTCTCCATTCTTCTCTCTCTCTTTGATTGTCGGTTCTATATTTCTAATTTCCATACTTCTTAAGTCTTTCACTTGTTGTATCCATCCCACTTTAGGTCTGCCTCTAATTCTTCTACCTTCTTCTTCTTCTAGTTCCATGACCGTTATCGATCGTTGGATATCATGTTGGCTACCATATTCGCTATCGTGACTTTATTGACAGCAGCTATAAATAACGATGTACCTAATTGATTTTCCATACCATTGCCTTAGATTTTTTAGCCATGATGTTTTTCATCTACCAGGACCACGATTACCTTGGATCTTTCCCTGAATTATCAGATGTAAAAGATCATATTTTTCAGGGTGTCTCATAATGTGACCGAAGTATTCCAGCTTGCGTTTCTTTATTATATTGGCCAGTTGTGTTGTTTGGCTCAGTCGTCTATGGACCTCCTCATTTTTAACTCTGTCGACCCAGCTTATTTTCAGTAGTCGTCTGTATACCCACATCTCAAAGGCTGTCAAGCGTTTAAGCATAGCCTCAGTTAGAGTCCACGCTTCCACTACATACAGCAGGACAGGAAAGATGTAGCAAGATGTAGCACGAGTTGCTCTACTCTGTCCAGTGTGGCATCTCCGACTTTTATACCGTCATCCTGTATATAATTTTGTTTGCTAACTATAATATATTTAGTTTTCTTAACGTTGAGTTTTAATCCATACTGATCACACGTCTGTTTTATTTTGTTCATTAGATTGAAGGTCTTCTCCGCAATTGCCAAGGACTAAGGTATCGTCGGCATATCTAATATTGTTGACGGTTACTCCATTCACAATAATACCTTCGGTTGTCTACATTAAGGCTTCCTTAAATATTTCCTACGAATATAAGTTAAAAGTAAAGGCGACAATATACAGCCTTGTCTCACTCCTCTTTTTATATTTATTTCATCCGACAGTTCTTGTTCAACCTTTATTCTTGCCACTTGATGCCAGTATAGATTTGTAATTATTTGTAGATCTTTATCGTCCAATCCATCTGTTTCCAATATTTCTAGCTTCTTCTACCTGGTGGTATTCATTCTGTTATAACTCTTAACAAATTGCTTTTCTCTCTTTTCATTATGTATCCATGAAATCTAATTCTTTGCTTTTATTGCTCTAACTATGTTCACTTGTATTTCGTGATTCATCCATTGGCTTGCATCCTCTTTGTTTCGACTGTTTGATCCTAGTTTTTCTCTGATAATCTTCTTTTCAAAAACTTTCAATTGCACTGCTTCTCTTGCTGTTAATGTAATTGTTTCTGCAGCATATACTACTATTGGTCTTATGGTCTTATCTCTTAACATTTTTTTATTTCTATAAAACGCTGTTTTTCCGCTTTAATTCTTCTTTTAAAATCTACACTTTCATTTCTTCTCTTGACTGGTACTCCCAGATATTTGAATGTGTCAACCTCTTCGAAACTGTGCATCTATTGTCAGTTCTTTCATTTGTGTTTCCTTTTTCTTGCTTACGTTTATGTATTTTTTTTTCATTTATTTTCGGTCCTCTTATTTTGGCTTCGTTTTCTATGTCTTGGAAGGTTTTTTTAATGCCTTTTTATCTGTTACTACTATGGTTATATCGTCCGTATATTCTATTATTTGTACTGAGCTCTAGCGATATAGTAAATAGTCCCGTTGAGAGCACGTCTCCTTGTCTTACTCCATTTTTTATTTTTATTATTTCTGTTTTTTCTCTTCCGGTGTCTAGTATTGCTTGGGAATCTCGCACTATCGTTTCTATCAATCTTATTATTATATTTGGTATATTACTCTCTTTTCTCTTCTCTAGATAATTTTTCTTCTGTTTAGTTTATCAAACGCCTATTTAAAGATTAGGAAAAGTATATGTGTTTCTCCGCCGTACTCGTATTTTTTCTATATCACTTGTGTTAGCGTATGTATAGCGTCTATCGTGGATCTTGCTTTGTTTGGGATTGCTCTCTCAGTTTTAGGATTGTCACTACAATTTCCTTCTTCCATTCTTTGGGCATTATTTCTTTGCTCCATATATTCTGTATTAGTTCATAAATCTGTCTGTATAGTGCCCCCACCATATTTTATAAGTTTTGCACATATTCCGTCTTCTCTCGCTGTTTTCCCGTTTTTAAATTTGCATATTTTTTCTTTCACTTCTGTAGAGGTCAATTCTTCTTCTTCTTTATCTTGTTCTTGTTTGTGAAAACTCCTGGTACTTGAGAGAAATTATGTCCTAGACCCCACTCTCCCATCTAATTACCAAACGATTACCAGTATAAGTAATTCCCCGGTATCAGTCAACGGCATTGAGATGTGGAAAGCCAAGGAATGACTACCGCTACCTACCAAGATCCGGGAGAGGAGGACAATCAGATTTAGACGACTCACTTTGTCTTCAAAGTAAATCTCTTTCAAAGAAATAAGAATAACTTTATAGCCTTAAAAATTGGAACATGGAACGTAAGAAGTTTATACCAATCTGGCAAAATAGATAACACTGTAGAAAATATCGGAAATGTGTAGAATAAAGATTAACATACTCGAGCTTAGCAATATACAATGGTCTGAATGGCCTGAAAAAAATGTAACACCACAAATGGAACAATGTATTATTCCGGTAACAACAACTCTAGTCATCGGCATCTGGAAAACAAACTTCAAAAATAAGACAAAAACAAGAATCTATAAAGCAGTAATTGGACCTATATTAACATACACGGCAACGACAAGATCTGTGACACATCTAAAACAAGACGACTACTAGAAACAACAGAAATGAATATACTTCGACAAATACCAGAGAAAACTCTGTTGAATAGGGAGAGAAGCGAAAACATAAGAAGAGCATGCAATATAGAAGACATAAATAGATGAGATGAGATAAGTCAGCAAATAGACGAAGTAGTATTAGCAGACCGATAAAAAGATGGTGCTATAATTTAAACAATTTGGGATGCTAAAACTGAAGAAAAAATAGGCTTAAAAGCCTACATACAAGAAGGAAGAAGAATAAGAAGAAAAAAAGAAAAAAAACACCTTGTAGTTTCACATCTAGTCTGAATTTAACTCATGGCAGGTACAATTTACCTGGTACGGTCTCAAGAAAATTTCTACTCTCACACAAAAAAGGCCACTCAACATTTCGTGGGCTTTTTTTTTTTTTTTAATTGACAGCGGTAGACTAGTCCGTATATATCGTTTAGGCTATTTTTAAAAGATTATTATTATTATTTTGCTTTGTCTACTATCGTTTTCCACTCTCTCCGGTCCTGAATATTTTCTCTCCAGTTTGTAATTTCCATCCTTGATGTATTCTCTATTACTTGATCTTTCCATCTGATTTTTAGTCTTCCTCTTGATCTGTTTATTACTGCTTTCCAGTTCGTTATCCTTCTAATTAATGCATCTTCTTTGCTTCTTTGTATGTGTTCAAACCATTTTAGTCTTCGTGCTTTAATAAATTTTACTATGTTTTCAGTTTGGGTTATATTTATATCCTTTCATAGTTATCAGTCTTCTATATTTTTCTTGTTCTGACTTTATTGGGCCGTGTATTTTCTCATAATTTTTCCTTCAATTATTCTTTGTTTTTCTTCATCTTTTTTCGTAAGACTCATTACTTCATATATGCTATCACCTGTCTAATTGCTGCTTTATATATTTTGTCTTTGTTTTTTTTTTGGTTAGGTTAATGTCTTCCAGTAGCCAGTGATATTTCCAGTACACCCCCCGTTCCTCGCTTTAATTCTTTCGCTTATTTATGCACTCCTTTAATTTTTGCCGTTCACTAACACCCTCCACTAATACTGATCATAATAACCTAGATTTTTACCCAGAATATTTGATTAATTGTCTAAAAGTCATTTCTATTTTTGTATATTTAACATGAAAAACTAATTAAGAGTGGATCTATTAAATGAATTATTTTAAACGGTGCTGTTAAAAAAAACGTGACCTTCCTTGAAACATACGGCTAATTTACTTTTTAATATTATTATATGTTAAGTAGGTATTGATGTTTTCTCGGTCAAAGTATCAATGAAATTAGCAATGATTGCAATTAAAAGTAATAGATTTTAGTTTTTAAACAAAAAGTTTGTGTGCTAAGTTTGATTTACACCCAAAAAATTACTAAAAATGTTAACAAACTCGTATTTTTACGTGAGCAGTTATTAAAATATTTAATCTTTTATATTTTGAGTACAAATTTGCTGTATGAGCAAACGACATCAACACTATTCCGACTAGCCCTGTCGGAAGCAGCGAAAAAGTGTATAGGAAGAGAGCATATAACAAGATGAGACTCTCTTCGGGAAAGGAAACATCGTAAGATACATAAAAGCCAATAGATTAAGATGGGCAGGCCACGTGGTACGGAGTGATGACGACAGACTGATTAGCAATGTGTTTTGGGAAAAACCAGATGGTAAAAGATCGACAGGAAGGCCTAGAAAAAGGTGGAAAGACGCAGTCAGGGAAGACCTGGAGAAGATAGAAGTAAGGCCATGGGAAATAATAGCACAGGATCGGAATCAATGGAAGGCAATAGTAAAC